ATCTTCAACATTACAAAGAAACCCAAAGAAAGATTAATCGACTTTTCACTTTTAGGTCTCATAAATTAGGCTTTTCTACTAGTAGGAAACCAAACCTCCAGCTTGAAATCAATCTTCCACAAACCTTATTAATTGACGATATTTGTATTCTTGTTAAAGTAATAGCACACCAAAATCAATGTATCAAGGATGCAAGATGCAGAAGAGAAACCTCTCTTTGGAAGTTAAACCTCCAACACCTAATCGCTTTCCATCAAAACCTGAATCGGCTTCGATCAGCCACCAATCGTGCAAGAAAACCTGCATCAACACCACAACATCTTAAAGGCTCGGTAAATACTACAATGCCGAACGTCAAATACAACAGGAAAAAAAAAATGTGAACGGCACAAACTTGTTTCAACAAGGAAGAGGAAATGGCGGTGTTGGGGCTGGTAAAAGGAGTTGACGGTGATTCCTTAAGACGCTTTTTCCTGCAGATAAAACCTTCTAACGGCGTTTCCATAGATATGTATGTACAAATGACTACGAGGAGATCTCGAATCCTTCTTCCGCTTTACAGGCAAGTGTTGTTCTGTTCTTGTTCTCCTCTTCACAGGGAAACTGAAGAAGCAAATGAAAAGATGACTCGTGCGAGTATCAGAACCTGAAATCGGAAAATTTGATGTAGATCCTATCACTTGTAACCTCCACAGTAGAAATAAAATTAACGATTGGCACTTGTAGGAAAACTGAAGAATGAAGATACAAAACAATCTTCAAATGAAAAAGGAACAACTCACCGTCGCATATTGGGGAAGACTGCCGCCTTCACCCACCAGAAAAGTAAAACTCACCGTCGTATATTGGGATGTGTGTTGAGCGAAGGGAAGGAAATGTAAAATTATTGTTTGTTTGGTTTGTGATTAGTAAAAAAAGTGTGTATATTATATATTCCTCCTTTTTTTTTTTTTTTAAATAAATGTCGTTTTGAGAAGTTGCACACTAATTAAAAATATTTTTTTGTTAATAATAATCTTTATTAATGAGGTTAGAGTAGATGTTTGGAGAAAAGATAAAGAGTGAATATGAAAGACGTAGCGTATTTATTAGCTAGATAAGGGTAATAATAAAAAGATATGTACAAAAGATCCAAAACGTCATTTATTAGTCAATTGTTGATAAAGTCAAAATGACATTTATAAAAAAAAAGAAGTAGTATTTATTAGCGTATTTTTATATGTCTAATTTTGTGGCACTTATATGTCTTTGGACTTATTTATTTGTTAGATGGATTCTTGTACTTTGATATTTTTATGGTTTATTTTTAGGATATTGAAGTATTTCCGGCAGCAATGTGACATTGGAAGAAATTTCATCCGAGGCAGTACGGGGTGCCCCGTACTGACCAAGCAGTACCCCGTACCAGCCCAATATTTGGGCCCATTTATACCATGTACGAAATTGGGCCCTACACTGTGATAATAGAAGACTTATTGGACTAGAGATTAATTAAATAACTCAATTGAGTTATCCAACAGCATAATATGTGGCCCAGTGAGATAAATAAGAATTAATTGATTTATTTTGACTCACGCACGCCACACGGAGGGAGGGAGACTTGCACAGGAATTAATTACGTAAAAAGGGTAGCCAGACAGAGGACGCCCTATTCACGCATAACAGAGAAATAAAGAAGAGAAGAAAAGCCGCCACGCAATACGGCAACAGAGAGAACATACGCAGAGATAAGGAATAACGCCGCAACAAAGAAAAAGTCATGCAGAGCAGGAGAAAAGAAATATTACGCGGAGATACGTGAGGCACCCGATCAACACGCGGAGAGAGACCGCACTAGTACACGAGGGAGATAATTAATCTTTCTATCTATTATTCATTTATTATGTTAGGCTAGTTTTTATTTCTAGTTTCGGGAATGTCGAACCCTACGACTTGATGATGTTTGATTGATTTTCTTAGTTGATAATTTTAATATCTTTTTGGAATTGTTTGTCTTATTTTGAATAATTAACCATGATGTGTGGAGTCTTATTTAGATTGATCACCTAGATTAGGTTTTTCATATCTATAGTTAAATTAGACCTTCAATCCGTAATTGTTGTTGTGTTTAGTTCATTATAGGCTACTGGAAAACGGTAACTACTGGGGATAACACGGCCTATTTAAGTGAACGAACGTGGTTGAGTTCACTACTTAGTCTAGCCTATTTTTCTAATTCGTAAAACGGCAAATTGTATTAAATCTTGAAAATGTTTTTCTGGACTGTATAAGAAGTCAGATTTAATTGTAGAGCGTCTCGCGGTTAAATTAAAATTAAGGAAAAATTCGGGTAACAGGCCGTGTCGTTGCTTAGGGCTAGTAATTTCATAAGATAGCGAGATTTGATATCAAAGTGGGCTAGTAATTCCATAAGATAGCAAAATTTGATACCAAAGTTGATTAGACGAGTCGGTCGAGGGTGTAGACGGAACCGTGAACTAGATATTTCTTTTAGTTTATTTAACTCGATATCTATTATCTAGTTTAGATTTTATTTGCTTTATTAGAATTTTAGTCAATTTAGATTTTTTTTTTTTTGTCGAAACGATAGAGATTTTATATAAAAGTGCACAAATGTGCAAAAGAACAGCCACAAGCTGAATACAAACAGCCAATGACTGAATACAACCAGCCAACAGTTGCATAAAATGAGAGGACAGGTCAAAAGACCGCCTAGAGCCCGGCCCCAACAGGGTAATACTCGGGAACACACAAAAAAGACACAAAAACCACTAAAAACGGCCCCAACAGGGTAATGCCCGAGTGTACGGTCCTAAAAGGATAATAAAGTCACACTCAGGCTAACTGAGGCCAACGGCCCAAACCAAAAACACTAAACCTAACAACACAAAACAACCAAACAACAATCCTAAAAAGAAAAACGGAACATCTACACTATGAGCCCTCCTCCACAATAGGAATAAGCTACACTACAACCTCGCCACCGCCACCGAGAGCTCCTACCCAAAGAGAAAGCAAACCGAGCTGAGCCCCGAGATCTGAAACTGCAGAAGGCCTAACAAGATCCGAAATACCCGCCCGAAAGTTCGCCCCAGGTAGTCACCCACGAACCAGTCGTCGGAGGTCAGTCCCAAAACCCACACCCCAACTACCAGTAGCACGGAAACAACCGACACCCAGACCCAACAGCCAACACCAACAGCGCAGCCCACCCCAGCCACCGGAACAACCAAAACACCCTCCACACCACCGTCGTTCTGCCACGACTAACACCACTAGCCAAAAAACAGAAACAGCGGCCCTCTCCTGACCCAGCACCAGGGCACAGAGGAGAAAAGGGCAATACGGCGTCACGGCTCCGACAGCTTCCACAAAATCACAGAAGCCACCATAGCCATACTCCAACCATAGAACCACACGACAAACAATACCTCTACGAGCCAGCTAAGCAAAACGACTAGGGCCCACAACCGGCACCTAAAGAGGTGAAACCCGGCCATGATAGCCATCCGCCCACTCAGGTACAGAGGATACCGGAGGTGCACACTGGGCAGAGTCCGATTAAGCCGAAAACAACTACACTGACTGAACTATCGGGCCCCAAAAGTGACGACCAACCACTACCAGCAGGCCTAACAAACCAACACCAGGAAATCCACGCAACCGAGATGAAAAAGGGACCTCACCTCAACTCCAACATCCGACCGGTAGAAGTTGGAATATGCCGCCTAGCCCCGCCGTCATGAATCGGAGATCCTCGCGCCCTCGGAGACCCGCCGGAGCAAGGTAGTCCAGCGAAGCCCTAATCGGCCGCAAGATTCCAATCTCAACGGGAGGCCGGGGGCCCAGACTGTTAGAGTAGGGTACCCGGCGTTCCAATCTAATTGGACGTATTCTACTTGTAAATACAGTCTATTGGAATTATATTATGAATAAGGCATTTCTTTATCTTAAGAGAAAGCATTTATCTTATAATTGCACTTAAGATTAAATCCCTAGATCACTTATGGTTATAAGGTATGGTTGCGCATAGAGATGGTAATCATGGAACATACCTTGAAAGCCATGACCTTAAATACAGTTCCAAGTCGATGGATGTTTTGAGATGGGATATCGAATAATCCATAAAAGACTTGCACATAGTTTGTATGCTTGTTGGACAAGAATGTTGCATTCCATCAACATTAGCGTAAGACGTAAGTACATTTATGTGGGTGCTTGTTAGAGAACAAGTTCACTGAACATGACCGTATGAAAATTCTTAATGAAGAATTTATTCAGTCGAATAAGAATTTTCATGTTACAATAGTACATGACTAATCCTAAGACTTGAGGCACAATGGTAACTTTGTGCATATTACATTCTACTTTGATTTATCTTTTTGGTAGCTAGCACTATCGTTTAAAGGGATAAGTTGGGTATTATGTTAATATGTATGGAAGTTTGTTAGTGGCCAATAAAGGATTCGACACTTATGAAGATAAGTGAATTTCCTATGTGTTTCATAGTTATTAATCCAAAGTCCTTGGCCAAGGCAGAGATGAATAGTGATTCATAACAGGGTTAATAAACTTGAAATAGAATCATAGTTATTAAGTCAATTTGGGTTTCGACAAAATCATACCCAAGACTTAATCGGGAAATTAGATGTCGAAAGGATTTTACATGTATGGAGTTGTAATCGGAATAGGTTTACTCGCTATTCACTTAATACTAGATTCATGCTACTTGCTAGGTGTTCCCATGATATGTGGGTTCTTGAATTAAAGGGTTAATTCATGAATAAGAGTTAATGTGATTAACTCAAATTACAAAGAGTTGTAAACCCACTACTAGTATTAAGGTGAACCTAAAAGGTCACACCTATTATGAACAAAGGTGAAAAATTGTATTTCTAAAGAGTTAGAATTAATTGACATAATCTAATTTGATTAGATATCAATTAAAAGGAATATATTAATCAATAAGATTGATTAATTACATTTTGGATATTACTTTAGTAATTAAGGTAATTACTAAATTAATATGTTGGAATTTAAAATTGGATTTTAAATTTCCAAACCAAAATAATAATAATATGATTATTATAATATGGATGAAAATTGGGAAAATGAATATAATAATAAAGTCTTGAAAAGATTCTCAAGATTTATTATTCTATTATCTTTAAATATGATTTAAGGATTAAAATAATAAATATGATTATAATAAAATGGTGGTTAAAGGTGGTTTGAACCACTTAACATTATTTATTATTTTCAAAGTCAATAGTTAGTAAATTCAAAGTCAATAGTTAGTAAATATTATTTAAATAAAATCTGATTTTATTTAAATATTACTAAATGTTGATTATTTTATGCTAAAATGTTTAGTATAAATAGATGCAAAATGGTTTTGCATTTAAGGTGAATTCATTCCTAAAATTTCTAAGTGTTAGAAAGAAGAAGAGTTCTTCATAAACATCAAGAAAGAGTTCTTGAAAATTCCCAAATAAAATTCATACATATTCCTATACAAGAAAACCGAGTCATTCCTACTAGCGAAGGAAGGTAGTCGGAACCGGGTTTCATAGGGTGGATACGTTTAGAGGGAAGACACTTGGATTCCTAAAGTGAGTAACCTCAATCCGTTGAAGTTATCAAACCGGGAACCGATTCCCACAATCCACATCGTCGTTGAAGGAGTTCAAGACATTCGGTAAATACTTTGTATTTGTATTTATTTTATATAACAAATCAAAATTTGTATGTGATGCATGTTTTAAAGATGACGATCAGTTAATTCGCAATTAGTATGTACGGGTGTT